TTGTTCCTTCATTAACACATGAAAGAACTAAATAAACATCTAATCTTATAAAATAGAACTTACAAGAAATTACAGTTCTTTACTTATTCCCAAAATGTTTTATTTTGAATATATAATTTAAATAGTTATAAAGTAATAATAGCTAGCAAGTATTATGCACATCATATATAACATGGATAATGAAGTTGGTACAATTCTTAACCCTTATTTTATGTATGAGATTACCTGAACATAGATAAATAAATTGCCCAAGATTTCATTTTATAAGCCAGGAATGGAACATAAATAATTATCCTCTATAGCCCAAACTCTTAGCTTCTATGCATTATTGAATGAAATTTAATATACCCTATTTTTACCCTTTACAACCTTAGAAATAACAAAATCTAAAATCAAAATTTGGTAAGCCTATGGGGATGAAACAAACATCTAAAGCTCCCTCTATAAGTTATATTTCTAAGAAATACTGTATTTAGTATTCTTTACCTCTGCATATTGTCTTTCTCTTCTTTCCTAACTAACTATTCAAGTCACTCTTCTTATATTTATTAGCTGAAAAGTAGAATTTTCCACCCCCCTCCAGTTCATTTAGATTCTAACGTTCACATTAGATCCTAAGTTTGTTGAAGTCATTTATGCAAATTTACTTAGTTTCTCTCATTTTAACCTAAACTTGGAAACTCCATTATCTGAGGGCTTTCCTCGAGGTTCACAGCCTATCTTTCTGTTTTCATGAGAATCCATTCATATTGCACATTTTTCTTCCATGCCTCTGGTTCCTCAGTCAGTTCATATTACTGATTGCTTCCATCCTTTTATAACATTTGCAATTTACCTTAAGTGTTGGTAATCCTCTCTCCCAGCTTCATTTAAGTAGCAGGTATCAAATTACTCCGATTCTGCCATCATATGTTATGAAATTTCTGTCTACTGGGGTTTTGATTTGTGAAATCTACATTCCAAGTTGCTTAAAGGATACTGATATCAGCAAATATGCATCATTGTGGATTGTGAAAACATGAATTGGATATAGTTTCTAGAAAAAAAATAGGACTACTTTTTAGTTGGAGCATTCCTTCATTGAAAATAATTTTTAATATACTTTTCCATCTCTTAAAAAATGTCATATTCTTAACCCAAATCTGGTCTTCCGAACTTTTGTAGTTGACAATGTCATTTTGTCATTAATGTGCATTTAATTGATTGATTTTGTATTTCCAATATTGATCAATTTTATATTTGTAATTTTAACTATTATTCAGAATACATAAACATTGACCAGGATCTTCAAAGGACTTACAGTTAAACAGAAAATATTTATTAATATTGAAATTATTTTTTGACCTTTGAAATGAGATTTATTCAGTATAAAACCACTTGATAGTTCTCATAAAGTCAATTTCTATTACTTTAAAACAGATGTCTTCTTAGGCTTTCTTGGTGTTATTAGTATGACTAGGAGCGTGGGAGACTAATACTACTTTGCAATGATTAGCCCTGCATTTATCTGCCTTCTGGAGGAAAATATTTTTTAATGGCACTGGCCTGGTATTATGAGTCATGATAGAAAAGCCAAAATCTCACATAAGTTACCCAAAACAAAAACAAACCCAAACTAAACAAGTGATAATACCCACCCACTTAACTCTACTCTATTTCATCCATTCAACAATATCCTTTTTTTTTTTTTAAGGCAGGCCTACTGTATGCTGGTAATAAAGGTAATAGATGTTTGGGCTATGTCAATGAGCTAAAGAAACTAGAGACAGACAATGAAAAAATAAACATGAAAACCATGATATGTTACAAGATAATAAGGGCTATGGAAAAATATTTTTAAGTAGAGCATAGATCAAGTCTTAATTTTAAAAACAGAAAAATAAGAGAGGCTGAGCATAGGAGAAATGCTCAAATTTAACTAAGGGGATTAAAGTGGACCACTGTGTTGAGTAAATACTTAAAAGAAGTACATAAATTAGTTTACATGGCTATCTTGGGAAAGAGAATTCCAGGCAGAGGGAATAGCTCATGCAAAGAGCTACAGTGGGAAGAAGCCCACGTATTGGAGAAAGAACAAGAGGGCCTGGGAGGGCCACTGCTGGAGCTAGAATGAAGTAAGCCAAGAGACACTGGTAGGAAAGTAATTCAGATAGGTCAGCGGCTGGACTTGGGTAGGAAGATAGATCATGCAGGGCCTTGAGGACCATTGTATTGATAAGAATTTGGACTTTGAATTAAAGTGAATGGAAGAACTATTGCAGAGTGTAAAGTGAAGGTGTGTCACAGCCTTGCACTTTACTTCTTGTTTTTTTTTTCCTTCTGTGAAAAAATATACTTTGTTCAACAAGGAGAGCAGCAAGGAAACTGAGAGATGACTGCAGAAATCCTGTTGAGAATTTGGTGACTGTGACCAGGTGACTATGACCAGTCTAAACAGACTGACAGTGAAGTGAGTGACAGTGGTCAGATTCTGGAGAGACACACACAAAATATGCTTATGAAATAAACTTTTCTCTTTCTATTTTGAAAAATTCAAGCATAAAAATGGAATAAGGCAATAAACATTTATTTTCCAGCACCTAGGTCTAATGCTATAGCTAGATCTAGCAAAAATACGTATTTTTGTAAAGTGTTTGAAAGTTGCAGACAGCCTATCTATTCATTTTGCCTTACTGTAGCATCAGAAAAGTGGGAATTCTATAATGTCACTTAATATCCAGTTCATTTTCAAATTATGTGAATTACTCTAAAAAGATCTGTTTTGACGATATGAAGAGCGTATGTGTGGAGGTGTATATGATTCCAAGTCAAGATCTAATCCAGGTTTATGCAGTATTTGATTGTTGAATCTCTTTTAATATAGATGTAATTCATTAATAAAAATATGTCTTTTAATATATTTTGATCATCATTTCTTTCCCTTGAAGAGTTCAGAAACTTTGTCTTATAGAAAGTTACCCACATTAGACTTGTCAGATTGTTAATTGTATTATTTTACTTTCTCAGTATTTTCTAGAAGTTGATAGTTAGGTCTAATGGCCTGACGAAAGGCAATTTAAATACTGTTGATGAGGAGATTTCATTGATACAGCTATGAACTGGATAATGCACATGTGAAGAGGCACATAATACTGTGTTATCCGGCTATTACAGATGCCAGAAGGATGTACAGTCAGAGGCCATTTGAAACATTGTTTTTATTGAGTGGAATTTTAACCATTTGATATACAGTTAGATGACTTTGTTTCCATTTGTTTTCAATTGTCAGGTTTATATTTGAATTTGTAAAACATTTTCATGTTTCAAAAGCCAAAAGGTTACTAATAAGTATACTTGCAAAAGTCTTTCTCCATCCCTATGCTAACTTACACTCTTTTACCTCTATAGATAAGGAGGTGACAAAATTTGTAAAAGGCCAAAGAATAAATACTGTAGACTTTACAGGCCGTATGGTCTCTATGACAGGCCATATGGTCTCTATGACACTACACAATTCTGCTGTTGTAGTGAGAAAGCAACCACAAACAATACATACCTAAATGGGTATGGCTGTGTCTCATAAAACTATATACAAAAACATGATTGTATTTGTCCTATGGGTCATATTTTGCTGAACTATGCTATAGATAATCATTTTTAAAAATTTGATTCAGCCACATTCATTCTGTTTCTTTTGGGTATTTTATTTTCCTTCCTTAAACAAAAATAGCATAGTATATACACTGTTCTATATTTTGTTAATTTTATTTAAATCACACACACCCCCACACTCCCAAGCATAATATCCATGTGTATTCTCCTAATTCTTTTTGATAATTATGTAGTGGACAAACACACACATATATGTATGGGTATACATATATATGCATATATGTGTAATGCATGTGAATGGATGCATGGCTGGATGGATAGCTAGCCAGCTAGATATTCAGGTTCCTGAAGTAGAGTTGTTGGGCCAAAAGGAAACACATCTGTAATTCTCTTCATTATTTCAAAGTTCCTCCCACATGGGCTGTATCACGTTGCTCTCCCACTGTCATACGAGCATGCTAGCTTTTCCTCAGTCTTGCCAACAGACTGTGCTCTCAAGTTTTTGAACTTTTTCCAAGATAATATATGAGAAATAGTATCTCAGTGTTAACTTTAATTTTCATTTATCTTATGAATGAAATTGAACATCTTTTCATACATTCAAGGGCCGTTAGCTGTTCTGCTTCTGTGAACTGTCTGTTCTTTTGTGCTCCTTTTTTTAAATTGGGTTTCAGAATGTATGTTAAAATTAGAGCCAACTGGGTTTTCTAACATTCAATGTGATGTTTGAGAAAATAGATAAATCAGGTATAATCAGCATCTTTGTATTCAGCATTAAGCTACCTTTAAGTGGGATGAGGAAAAGTATGGTTAAGGCAGCTTTCAGATGATCAGATCAAGGGATTGAGTTCAGGATTGGACATTGTTGAGTTAATGCTATTAAATATCCAAATAAAGAAAAAGAGAGGTATCAGGATGCACGTGTCTAGATATGGTAGAGAAATCTGTACTAGCAGTGGAAAGCTGGGAATCATCGAATAGAGATGTGGGTGAATACCACGAGACTGACGAGTTCACAAAGTGAGTGTGGGTAGAGAGGAGAAGAAAACCAAGGATTGAGTCCTGAATCTTTTGATATTAAAATTTAGAAAGAAAAAAGTTCCAGTACACCACCAGTAAAGTAGAAGGATATAAAGAGAATAAAGCTCCGTGAAGGCAAGTATATAATTTGTGTAGAAGATAAATACATGACCAAGGCTGGTAAGATGAGGACAATAATTTAGCATTTTATTTTAAATAGTGATATTATTTATTATTAAATTTTAAATTTAATGCTCTTGGAAGACAATGGTTTGGTAGAGGAGAAAGCTATAAAATCTAATGTTTTTTTTTTCAGACTGAAAAGCAAATTAAATACTCCTTGAATTTAGAGATGTCAACCAAAAGTTGAATGCAACAGGGAGCCATCTTCATTTTATGTCAGTAATAAATCTCACTTGAACTTACGCAAAATGTTTTGTATAGAAATGTAACATGATATTCATTTTGCTCTCACCTTCAGTTGAAGTCCAGTATTTGCAATATATCTACATTTTAGAAAGTTCCAAACAAAAATAATATTCCCTTCTTCAAGAAAAATAGGAAAAAATATTAAAATGTATAAATTTAAAGAATTACATCTGTAAACAACCCCTAAATATTTCAGTGGGAAAAGTTTACAAAATAGTACATGATTAACTAGCAAATAAATTATATAGGTAATCACTATATTTTCTATGAATGCATTAAAGGAAGAGGTAACTTTAGGCTTAATTATTTTCTGCCTCTGCAAGGAAAAGAAAGGCTTTCAAAAACAAGGGAACCATTGGACATTACCAGATAAATAATTATGAAGCTATTAATAAAATGTGATTGTTACCATTAAGATGCTCATCTTAGCAGTTTACAAATAATATAGGGACAAAAAGTATTTGAACTTCAACGAAACCATAAGTAGTGTTGTTTCTGTTTCTTTTGGTCAGTTGGACTATTACTGAGTGCTCATGCTGTATCAAGCATGTGACCCTGATGGGAGAATGGTAGCTGTTGACAAGTGAAAAGGTCTGTACTTCTGGAATTCATTCCAGAGCCTCAATTCAGAACTGATTTCCTTCACTCCCAATTTTTTTCTAGCTGGCTCTTCACCATCTGTAACATTTATTTGCACAGTAAAACTTTCTCTAGACTCCCAGACAAGCATGTGTCTTTTTCCTCAACATTTTATCTTACATAATATACTTGTCTTTCTTGAAGCAGTATGTCTTTGGCTTGTTCTGGAATATAAGCTCTCTGAGGGCAGGAACCATACTTATCTTCTTTGTTACTGGATTGCATGGTGACTTTGCAGCTAGAAAGTGCACAACAAAAATTTGTTGAAAAAGTGAAATAATAAATATTGACATTTTATATGCCATTATACCTATGAGTCACTTTCTATAGCATCCACACATGTGTAAGTTATTTAAGTGCCCACTTTTATATTTATTTAGTACTTTCAAGACCTATTTTTATAAAAAAAATTACATAAACCAAATATTTAAAAAATAGCAATAGGATGCTATTGAGGGATAGCTTTCAATGTGAGATATTGGTAGCTAGATAACACAGAAGGAAAATGATTTCATAAATAAAAAAGGTGTTAGGAAGTAAGGGTCAATCTATACACCGTTCATTTTGAGTATAAAAAGCTTCTTTCTAAGAATAATTCATATAAATTTCTGGGAAAAGTAAAATAAAATTGGTTGCATATTCTAAAATAATTTTTATTTTATTTTTAATATATTTTATTTTATAAGTTATATCATATAATTGATTAATTTATTTATTTTAAAATTAATAATTTTTAATTTTTATTTTACAATTTAACAATTTTTAATTTTTATTTTAGATTCAAGGGTACATGTGCAGTTTTGTTATATAGGTAAATTGCATGTAATAGTGGGTTGGTGAACAGATTATTTCACCACCCAGCTAGTAAACATAGTATGTGGTAGGTAGTGTTTTGATCCTCACCCTCCTCCCACCATCCCCTCTCAAGTAGGCCCTAGTATCTGTTGTTACCTTCATTGTGTCCATATATACTCAATATTTAACCCTCACTTGTAAGTGAGAGCATGTGGTATTTGACTTTTTGTTCCTGTGTTAGTTCACTTAGGATAATGAACCCCAGCTCAATCCATATTGCTGCAAAAGACATAATCTTGTTCCTTTTTATGGCTGCATAGTATTTCATGGTATGTATGTACCATTTTCTTTATTCAGTCGACCATTCATGGGCATCTAGGTTGATTACACATCTTTGTTATTGTGACTAGTGCTGCAATGAACCTCCACACGCAGGTGTCTTTATGGTAGAACAATTTCTATTCTTTTGGTTATATATCCACTAATAGGATTGCTGGCTAAAATGGTAATTCTGCTTTGAGTTCTTTGAGAAATCCCCAAAGTGTTTTTAACAAAAGCTGAACTAATTTACATTCTCACCATCAGCTTCTTCATAACTTTGCCAGCATCTGTCATTTTTTGACTTTTTCTAATACCCATAGTGTGTCATGGTATCTTATTGTGGTTTTGATTTGCATTTCTCTAATAATTAGTGATGTTGAACATTTTTTCATATGCCTCTTGGCTGTGCATATGTCTTCTTTTCTAAAGTGTCTGCCCACTTTTTTTCTTAATCACATTTTAGATTCTGGGGTACATGTACAGATCATGCAAGATTGTTATATAAGTACATTTATGGCAAGGTGGTTTGCTTTACCATCCCCCCATCACCTATACCTGACATTTCTCCCCATGTTATCCCTCCCCAACCTCCCTTCCACTATCCCTCTTCTAGCCTCCCCCAACAGACCCCAGTGTGTGATGCTCCCCTCTCTGTGTCCATGTGTTCTCATTCTTCAACACCTGCCTATGAGTGAGAAGATAGTGTGTTTGATTTTCTGTTCTTGTGTCAGTTTGCTGAGAATGATGTTTCTAGGTTCATCCATGTCCCTACAGAGGTCACAAACTCATCTTTTTTATGGCTGCATAGTATTCCATGTTGTATATATGCCACATTTTCTTTGTCCAGTCTCTCATTGATGGGCATTTGGGTTGGTTTCAGGTCTTTGCTATTGTAAACAGTGTCACAATGAACATTTGTGTGCATGTGTCTTTATAATAGAATGATTTATAGTCCTTTGGATATATAGTCAGTAATGGGATTGCTGGGTCAAGTGGAATTTCTATTTCTAGGTCCTTGAGGAATCACCATACTGTCTTCCACAATGGTTGAACTAATTAACACTCCCACCAACAGTGTAAAGATGTTCCTATTTCTCCACATCCTCTCCAGCATCTGTTGTCTACAGATTTTTTAAATAATCACCATTCTAACTGGCGTGAGATGGCATCTCAATGTGGTTTTGATTTGCATTTCTCTAATGACCAATGATGATGAGCATTTTTTTCATTTGCCCACTTTTTAATGGACTTGTTTGGTTTTTGCTTGTAGATTTAAGTTCCTTATAGATTCTGGCTAATACACCTTTGTCAGATGCATAGTTTGCAAATATTGTCTCCTATTCTTTAGGTTATCTGTTTGCTCTGTTGATAGTTTCTTTTGCTGTGCAGAAGCTCTTTAGTAGTTTAATGAGGTCCCATTTGTCAATTTTTGTTGCAATTGCTTTTGGTATCTTTGTCATGAAATCTTTGCCAGATCTTACATTCAGAATAGTATTTCCTAGGTTATCTTCCAGGGTTTTTATAGTTTTAGGTTTTATATTGAAGTCTTCATTCCATCTTGAGTTTATTTTTATATATGGTATAAGGAAGGGGTCTAGTTTCAGTCATCTTCATGTTACTAACCAGTTATCCCAGAACCATTTATTGAATAGGGAGTCCATTTCTCATTGCTTGTTTTTGTCAACTTTGTCAGATTTCAGATTATTGTAGTTGTGGAGCATTATTTCTAGGCTCTGTATTCTGCACCATTGAGCTACTGTCTGTCATTCTACAAGTACCATGCTGTTTCGATGAGTGTAGCCTTGTGCAATTTGAAGTCAGGTGACATGATGCCTCTAGCTTTTTTCTTTTGCTTAGGATTACTTTAGCTATTCCAGCTCTTTGTTTTTGATTCCATATGAATTTTTAAGTACTTTTCTTCTACCCTGTGAAGAATGTCTTTAGGAGTTTGGTTTATAGCATTGAATCTGTAAACTGCTTTGGGCAGTATGGCCATTTTAACAATATTCTTCCTATCTATGAGCATGAAATATCATCTCTCTCTTCTTTGAGTAGTGTCTTATAATTCTCGTTTTCGGGATATTTTGCCTCCCTAATAAGCTGTATTCCTAGATATTTTATTGTTTTTGTGGCTGTTGTGAATGGGATTGTGTTCCGGATTTGGCTCTCAGCTTGCGTGTTGTTGGTGTGTAGGAATGTTACTAATTTTTGTACACTGATTTACCTGTGACTTTGCTAAAGCTGTTTAACAGATCAAGAAATTTTGGGGCAGAGAGTGTGGGGTTTTCTAGGTATAGAATCATATAACCTGCAAATAGAGATAGCTTTACTTCCTTTCTTCCTATATGGATGCCTTTTTTTTTCCCCCCTTTTCTCATGCCTGATTGCTCTGGCAAGGGATTCCAGTACTGTGTTGAATAGGAGTGGTGAGAAAAGACATTCTTGTCTTGTTCTGGCTCTCAAGAAGAATGCTTTAAGCTTCTGCCCATTCAGTGTGTTTCTTGCTGTAGGTTTGACATAGATAGCTTTTATTATTTTGAAGTATGTTCATTCAATGTGTAGTTTGTTGAGGGTTTTTAAGATAAACGATGTTGAATTTTATCAAAAGCCTTTTCTACATCTATTGAGACAGTCATGTGGTTTGTGTTTTTAGTTCTCTTTATGTGATGAATCACGTTTATTGATTTATGTAGGTTGAACCAACCTTGCGTCCCAGGGATAATGCTTACTTGATAATGGTGGATAAGCTTTTTGATGTGCTGCTGGGTTCAGTTGGGTAGTATTTTGTCGAGGATTTTTGCTTCTATGTTTAGCAAGGATATTGCCCTGAAGTTCTCTTGTGTGTATGTGTGTGACCCTCCCAGGCTTCAGTATCAGGATGATGTTGACCTCATAGAATGAGTTGGAAAGCAGCCCCTGCACCTAAATTGTCTGGAGTAGTATTACTAAGAATTGTTCCAGCTCTTCTTTATACATCTGGTAGAATTTACTGTGAATTTATCTGGTCCTGGGCTTTTATTTTGGTTGGCAGACTTTTTATTACTGATTCAATTTTGGAACTCATTATCAATCAGTTCAAGGCTTCAATTTCTTCCTGCTTCAGTTTTAGGAGATTGTATGTGTCCAGGAATTTATCCATTTATTGTAGGTTTTCTAGCTTGTGTGCATAGAGCTATTTTTAGTGGTCTCTAAAGGTTTTTGTTTTGTTTTTGGAAGGAAAGGTTTTATGAAAAATGAAAGTACACTCCACAGTGTGGGCCTGAGCATAGGGGGTCAAAGGCCCTGTTACAGAGTTTTTGTGAGTTTAAATACACTCTACCTGGGGTATGCCCTATGTAAATGAAGAGGATGAAGTAAAATTACAAAGTCATTTACTCAGTGTATGCCCTGTGGAGAAGATATTTCCTGTTATAGCTGAAGTGTGGATTGGCCTTATGCTCCCTGCTTCCAGACTCTCTTTTCCTGCCTTATCTCCCTACTTAGAGATGTGATCCACATAAATCTTTGGGGAGGCAGAGGGACCAATGGTCTTTTTTTCTGTATTTGTCTCATGACCAATGGTCTTTTTTTCTGTAATAGCTTCATGCTCACTTGGGGCATAACGTCTACCTATATTAGGGATCACGGAATTCTTACCCTGCTCTATCTAGTGGAAGCAGGGTGGTTTCTTGATGGCCAGGGGTGGTGTCTTCATCTGGAACTGAGTGGAGCCCTTGTTGCATGATCATCTGAAGCTTGATGGTCTCTCAAAGGTTCCAGTGGGTACAAAGTTCCAAAAGTGTGGAGGGACCCTTCTCAGTTGTGAGGCCATGATCCCAAAGTTCAAGGTTCCAAAGTTCTGCTGTAGTGTGGAGGGCAAAGACAGTCTTTCTCTGATGTTTCCAGAAGATTTAAACCATAAAAATCTTCCTTTACTCTTTTGCCAGCATGCCAGGCTTCTTGGTTCTTTCTCCCTGAGTGGCGCTAGCAAACCTGCTTAATTCTTCCTCCTGGCTGGCTTACCAAAATATGTTAACAGTGGATGATGTCCAAGTTCTTGGTGTCTTGAACAAAGAATTGGGCAAAATGCACAAACAAAGCAAGGAAGGAATGAAGGGTTTTATTGAAAATGAAAGTACACTCAACTGTCTGGGAGCCAGCCTGAGCATAGTGGCTCAAGGCCTCTCTCAGTATTTTTTTATTTTTCTGCCAGGTCAGTGGTAATGTCCCTTTTGATATTTCTGATTGTGTTTATTTGAATCTTCTTTCTTTTTTTTCTTTTTTCATCTAGCTTGTAGACTATATATCTTATTTTTTTCAATAAACCAACTCCTGTGTTTATTAATCTTTTGTATAATTTTTTGTATCTTAATTGCCTTCAATTTGGCTTTGTTTTTGGTTATTTCTTGTCATGCTAGCTTTAGAGTTGGTTTGCTTTTGTTTTTCTAGTTTCTCTAGTGGTGATGTTAGATTGTTAATGTGAGATATTTTTATAACTTTTTTTATGTGGACATTTAGTGCTATAAACTTCTCTCTTAACCCTACCTTAGCTGTTTCTAAAATTCTAATGTGTTGTATCTTTGTTGCCATTATTTTCAATGAATTTCTTGATTTCTTCTTAATTTCATTATTTACCCAATAGTCATTCAGGAGCAGGTTGTTTAATTTACATTGTAATTAGATGGTTTTGAGTAATTTTATTAGTACTGATTTCTTTTTCTACTGCGCTGTGGTTCAAGAGCATGGATGGTATGATTTTGACTTTAACTTTGCTGAGAATTATTTTATGTCAAATTGTGTGGTTGATTTCTGCCATGTACAGATGAGAAGAATGTATATTCTGTTCTTTTTGGGTGGAGCATTCTGTAGATGTCTATTAGGTCCATTTAGTCAAGTGTTGAGTTCAGGTCCTGAATATCTTTGTTTTCTGCTTTAATGATCTAATATTATCATTAGGGTATTTAAGTATCCTGCAATTATTTTGTATTTATCTAATTCTCTTCACAGGTCTCCAAGAACTTGCTTTATGAATCTGGGTGCTTGTTTGTTGGGTGCGTATATATTTAGGATATTTAGGACTTCTTGTTGGATTGAACCCTTTACCCTTATGCAATGCCTTTCTTTGTCTTTTTGATCTATGCTGGTTTAAAGTCTGCTCTGTTTGAAATTATAGAATGGCAACACTGCTTGTTTCTGTTTTCCATTTGCTTGGTAGATTTTTCTCTATTCCTTTTCTTTAAGCTTATGGGAGTCATTGCATGTGGGATGGGTCTCAGGCTCTTGAAGACAGCATACCACTGGTCTTGCTCCACTGTTCAACCTACCCCTCTGTGCCTTTTAATTGGTCCATTTAACCCATTTACATTCATATTTAGTATTGATATGTATGGACTTATTTCTGTCATCATGTTGTTAGCTGATTATCATGCAGACTTGTTTATATGGTTGCTTTATAGTGTTGCTGGTCTACATACTTAAGTGTGATTTTATGGTGGCCAGTAAGTCTTTCCTTTCCATGTTTTGCACTCCCTTCAGGGCTTCTTGTAAGGTAAGTGTGGTGATAATAAAAATCCCTTAGCATTTTCTTGTCTGAACATGATCTTATTTCTCCCTCATTTATGAAGCTTAGTTGCCTGGATATAAAACTCTTGGTTGGAACTTATTTTCTTTAAGAATGTTGAATATCGGACTCCATTCTCTTCTGGCTTGTTAGGGTTTCTCCTGAAATGTCTGCTGTTAGCCTGATGGGATTTCCTTTGTACATGGCCTGCCCCTTCTCTCTAGCTGCCTTTGCCATTTTTCTTTCATTTAGACCTTGGAGAATTTGATGACTATGTGTCTTGGGGATGGTGTTCTTGTATACTATGCTACAGGAGTTATCTGCATTTTCTGAGTTTAAATATGGGCCTCTCAAGCAGTTTTGTGGAAATTTTCATGGATGATATCCTGAAATATGTTTCCTATGTTGCTTGATTTGTTCCTATCTCTTTCAGAGATGCCAGTGAGCCATAGATTTGGTATGCTGACATAATTCCATATTTCTCAGAGATTTTCTTCTTTTTTACTATTTTTATTATTTTTGTCTAATTTGGAGAACCAATTTTCAAGCTCTGAGATTCTTTCCTCAGCTTAATCTATTCTACTGTTAATATTTATGATTGCATTATGAAATTCTTATACTGTGTTTTTCAGTTTTACCAGATCAGTATTGTTCTTTCTGATAATGCCCATTTAGTCTATAAGCTCCTCTATCATTTTATTGTAATACTTAAATTCCTTGGATTGGGTTTCAACTTTCCCGTGAATCTCAGTGATCTTTGTTCTTATCCATATTCTGAATTAAATTACTGTCATTTCAGCCATTTCAGCTTGGTTAAGAATTCTTGCTGGGGAACTAGTGAGGCTGTTTAGATGAAAGAGGACACTCTGACTTTTTGAATTGCCAGAGTTTCTTGGACTGGGTCTTTCTCATTGATGTGGACTCATGATCCTCTAACTGCAGCGTAATTTGAGTACTATCAGTAGACTCCTTTTCTGGACGTTTTCAGTGGACCAACGCTTTGTGCAGGGATTATCTTTGTAGCTTAATTCTTGTCCTTAGTTTTACAGGGGAATACATTAGCAAAGTATTTTTTGTGTTAAAGTTTGGGCTGTGATCTCGTAGATAATGCTTAAGTGAAATGGTTAGTAGGTACTCTCCTGATCAGCCAGCTGGCCCCTCTGTATTTCCTCAGTATTGCAGCCATGATCCCTCTCAGTGCTCTGAAAAGGTGGGCTCCTCTCTCACTGAGTGCTGGATGCCAGTCTCATCTCAGCTTGACACTCCTGAGCCACACATCATAGTTACAGGGTGAGCTCAGGCTTTATGTTCCTTCCCCAGCTGGAGGGAGCAAGGAAAGGGAACTTGACAGTGGCTACGGCAGAGGCCTTTCACTTGCCTCTTGAATATCCACCCTATAGAAATGCAGAGCTGCTACTAATCAGTGTAATTGGGCCAGCATGGGGTGGTTGCATTGTGGCCCCAAGCCTAGGACCCTGGCTGGTGACAAGCAAGGAGTGCAGGAGGCTTGTTAGGTAGACCAACTGGCCTCTCCTCCTTAGGGCAGCTGTGGTGTGCTGTAGATGTGATTAAAGTACTCAGAGTCTTCATTCCCTCTCCAGTTCAAGGGCATTAAGGGCAGTACCCCTACAGCAGCAGGGGCAGTGGGGCTTTCAGTTGCCCCTGGGAGCTGCGCCTCAGAGAAACTGCTACTGGGAATGTTCAGCCAGAGATGCTAAGGCTGAACTCTCGTGGTAAACAGTCTGGCCACTTTTCCATAAGGCAGTTGCATGGTGCTGGGGATCTGTATTAGTCCCTAATCACTGCATGGCCTCTCGAGCCTGAGGGCAACAGGAGCGAGGGATACAGAGTAGTAAAACTAGTGTCCCGCCTGCTCCCTCTTGGACCTCTGTCCCAAAGAAATGCAGAGCTGCTACTGGCTCAAGAGCCCAGGTCAGGGGTGGCTGGAGTCCCAGGTCAGAAGGCCCTGCCCAATGAGGAGTAGTGGGATTGGGGACTCTTTTAGAAAACAGTCTGGCTTCTCTCTGTAAAATGACTGTACTCTGCTGGGGGTCTGCTTTAGCTAAAATGACTCAATGAATCATCAGACGCATAGACTTTAAAAATCAACCTGTACTTGACTGAAGCATTGCTGTTTTTGTAAATAGGGTAATAATGATACCATAGTCCTCCAACTTGTAAAATTTGACCATTTAAGGGGTTACAAATCATCCATTTTTAATGGGGAAATCACAAACTCCTGAAATTCCCAATTTTGACTGTTGACAAAATTGTGTTTTAGGGGGTGCAGGGGGAGATAGAGGTATAAGAATTTATGAAAGCAAGAAATCTATTGTAATAAAATGCCAAGAAGCTTCAGAGAAATGAGATACTACTGTTGACTGACTAGAAAAAATATGAATGATATGATCTAAACTTTGTTTAGGACTGATAAGGGTCTTGCAGTTGTACAATGCCTGATACTTAGAAAGGCGCTATGCTTGGATTAGTGCTCTATTATTGCCATCTTGAAATCCTTAACAATACTTGTACAAGGAGGCTTGCATTTTCTTTTGCACTGGACCAAGTGAATTACATACCCAGTCTTGAGGACAGATCATTGTTAGAAGGATTGTTGCAAGAAAGTTAAGAAAATAACACAAACAAAGGATTATTATGGGACAGTGAGTTAAATTTTATAAGTGTGAAAATTTTGTAGAAAAGCAGGAGTATTTTTCAAAAGGAAGGGAAGGATATTAGACATTAATCCCAACAGCATGGGGAACTCATATCTCTTCATTTTCATCTGCCACCTGTCCTTCCAGGTGCTAACCCATTAATCTTCAAATACTATTACATTTGCAAAGTTGCAATTTATAATATCTACTTCTATCTATCTATATGCATTTTAATTACTGGCTCTGATTTACATAGCTTGATCAGTGCTGCAATGCTAATGTCTTGAGACTCAGGATTTACTTTATTGTGAACTAGTTATGCAAATGAAACAAAATGACTCAGGAAGGGAAAGCAAGAAGAAGAAGCACTAATGAAGCCCTGGTTTGATTGTTTGCTGTAGCTCCCTTCTATCATATTCTATCCAGATAACCTTGTGACATTCTGATTCTCCAAGGAAATACTTTTGATGTTATTAATCACGCTTCTAAGTGTTTATTAGTATTGTGAATAGTCAAATTAATGTCATATGAATTCATATGAATAATATCTACAGTCAAGATGTATTCTGCTACTGTGTCTCCCACACACAAATGTGGAACAGTGAAGAAGTAATAAGTGGATAGGGCATGCTCTCTGTACATGGACAAGGACAAGATAGTGCTCATTTTAATAAGAAATGACCAGTATGGTTGTGTCAGAGTCATTGTTCTACTGAAGTAAGTTTCAGAATTTAAATTATTTTGGTAGTTTGCATTAACTTCAGATAAGTATTCTCAGTGATACTATCACAATACATAGTACATTGAGACATAATTATTCACACAGCGACATGGCAAAAACATAGGCTGCTTCTTGTCAAAAAAGCAATAATTTCTGGTCAACTCATCTTCAACAAAGAAGCAAAGACAACTCTATTAAGAAAGGATAGTCTTTTAACAAATGGTGCTGCAACAAATGGACATCCACACATTATAAAAATGAATTTAGATGTTGATGTTACATCTTTCATAAAAACTAACTCCTGAAGGACCATAGACCTAAATGTAAAACACAAAAGTCTAAAATTCCTAGAAGATAGCATAGAGAAAATCTAGGTGACCTTAGGTTGGTAAAACATTTTTAAATACACCACAAAAAGCACAATCAGTGAGGGAAAATAATTATGAGTTGGACTTCACTAAAAAATCAATCTTCTGCTCTGTGAAATACACTTTTAAGAAAATGAAAAGACAAGCCACAGACTGGGAGAAAATATTTGCAAAAAAAAAATCTGTTATAGAACTTGTAGCCAGAATATACAAATAATTCCTAAAGCTGAATGATAAGAAAGCAAACGACCAGCCTTGCCACCATGGCAAAACCCTCACTCTACTAAAAAAAAATAAAAAATAAAATTATCTGGTGGTTTGAACCCAGGAGGTGGAGGTTGCAGTGAGCTGAGATTGTGTCAATGCACTCCAACCTGAGTGACAGAGCAACTCTCTGTTTCAAAAACAACAACAAAAAAATAGAAAGTAAACAAACCAATTAAAAAGTGAACAAAAGATCTCCAGGCCGGGCGTGGTGGCTCACGCCTGTAATCTCAGCACTTTGGGAGGCCGAGGCGGGTCAATCACAAGGTCAAGAGATTGAGACCATCCTGGTCAATGTGGTGAAACCCCATCTCTACTAAAAAATACAAAAAAATTAGCTGGGCATGGTGGCGCGTGCCTGTAATCCCAGCTACTCAGGAGGCTGAGGCAGGAGAATTGCCTAAACCCAGGAGGCGGAGTTTGTGGTGAGCCGAGATTGCGCCATTGCACTCCAGCCTGGGTAACAAGAGTGAAACTCTGTCTCAAAAAAAAAAAAAAAAAAAAAAAGATCTCCAAAGAGGCTCCCCTGAAAGAGCAATGGAGATGGCAAACAACCATATGAAAGGATGATCAACATTATATATTATTAGAGAACTACAAATTAAAGCAACAATGGGAGACTCCAACACACCTATTAGATCAGCTAAAATCCAAAACTGACAACACCAAATGCTGACAAGTATGTGGAGCAACAGGAACTCTCATTTATTGCTGGTGGGAATGAAACATGATATAGCCACTTTGGAAGACAGTTTTTCAGTTTCTTCCAAATGTAAACAGAGTTTTATAGTATAAAAATCATGCTCCTAGATATTTAATCATATCTAGGAGCATTTACCCATACCTAGGAGCATGATTTTTGTATTATAAGACTGTTGAAAACTTATGTCATGTAAAAACTTGCACATAAAGGAATAAAACACTATTATTCATAATGGCCCCAAATTGGAAGCAACCAAGTTATCCTTCAATAAGTAAATAAATAAACACTGGTGTCTCTATACAATTGATCAGTCTTCAGTGATAGGCACAGAAAGACACATACTGCTTTCTCTCAGTCATATGTGGAATTAAACATAAAGTTGAAGTCATAGAATCAGAGTAGAATGGTGGTTACCAGATGCTGGGGGAGAGGAGGCAGGAATGCTGGGGAGATG